AAAATCAAGGATCTAGGGATTACAGAAGTTGATTAAAGGTACTGACTTCGCTGCAGAACTATTCTCCAAGCTACACTGAAGATTTTTTTCTTTTCTTGATAACAGACTATGCACAATATGCAACACAGGACACTGTAGTGCTCAAGTTATAGAAGTTTTTTTTTTTTTTTTAATGATAGCAATGCTGGTTGTCACTCGTACATTATCTGAAATGCAGTAACATAGAGTCAGAAAAGTTTTAGGATTCTATTTTCTCAACCACTATAACAAATTGATCTGCCTAAACAAAAGCTATTCGTTAGTGAAATACAAACACATCATCTGTTAAAGGATTGTATTTTATTTGGTGAACAAATCAAGCAAAATTCTTACAGTCAACCACCTAGTCACTTACTACCTATTTAATGGTCATCTGTTACATTTAAGAACAAAGCAAGAGTTTACCTCTGAAATTCTGTTTCTCTTTTCATAGCAGAATTATAAGATCTTGTGTATTCAGAGTTCTGAAAGAAGAGAAAAACCCCAAGAGCTTGTATAGTAAACTGCAATAAAATAAAATCTTGGTAAGATGAAACAAGCTGTTGTCTCTCACTGGATTCACTGTTGAAGCGGCCGGGCCTGAACGACACGCCCGAGTCAGGGTTGACTTGGACCCAGAACAGCCTTTATAGCAGTACATAAAACTTGCCCTCAGAACTGCCGCGCTAACTTGCATGCAGGCTTACTAAACTGTATCTTTTACCAGCCATGGTGACCTTGCTTATGCTAACTTATACTGTAGGCTATTGTGCAATGTGTTAATTTTGCAAAGAACCCTCTCCTCCGGGGCCTGGAGTCTGGCCAGGTCCCAGTCCTGGATGATCGGGGAGTATGATGTACCAGATGTCACTGCTCACAAAGAAAATGCACGTCATTATGCTTCTCTGATTTGGGTCTATAAAAGCTGGACCCTCTTGCTGCAACTTTGGAGACCTCACTTATGGGTGGACACACCCTGTAAGACCTCCCAACTGCCAGGAAGGTTCTCCAAATCCTTGCTGCAACAGGGATCATGGATCTGGATGATAGTAACATATTTAGGCAATTGGTGATGTATCTTTTTCTTAATCACTATTCTCTTTCTCATATAGTAATGGTTAGGTGCATTACTTTGCTTATTTTCTCTGATGCTAAAACCAAGAGCGCAGTAAGCTTATTTTCAGTTAAATGTATGATTTCATTTCTGTATTGCTTTAATATTAATAGTAAAACAAGACTGTTCTTTCCATTGGTGCCTGTGTCCTTTCTATTGTCCCCATCAATTGGCAAAATAACTATGAGTAAGTCAACCTTTGAAAACAGTAGCTGCATACCTCACTATAATTCTGTAGTTAAATTTTATTATATCTAAGAAGCACAAGAGGGAAAAATAACCATGGCATATAGACCTGGATTATAAATAGAAAAAGCTTGAATGATTAACCACATTTAAGATTCTGCATGTGTTTCATATATTCAAGGAATTAACATGCGTGTACAATACACATTTTTATATATCTATAAAAAATATACCTGGCAACGGTCCCACCGAGCACCAAAGAGCAGATACTTCCATGGGAGGTTTATGCAGATGAAATGTATATTAATTCTGACCAGATTTGCTAATCAGGGGCATCAGTGTGAAATCACAGTGAAACAGGCCTGGTTAAGAATAAGGATAGTCTTAACACTGTCTAGCATATCTGCATTGAAAGCTGAGTCACATTAGAAAGCAATTAATTAAAAACAAAAGGGTTGCAGAAATCTCTAAGGTCTTAACAAAACTAAAGAACTTCTAACCACGTTGCTTCTTTTACAACAGCACAAACAGAACCTTAATGCAAGAGGCTGTTTGAGGCTGCTGAAGTTTGTCATGCAACTTGTTGAAGGAAGGGCTGCACAATTCAATAATTTAAATCAAATTACGAAGCAAATTTTACTCTTTTATTTACAACATGTAATTATATGGCAATTAGTGAACTACGCATTCAGAATCAGCACCAGCAGTACAACAGATAAGCCACAATATGGGGCAATTATAAAATGTTTAATAAACACTTGATACCAAAAAGTTCTTAACTCAGACAAGTAAATGACACATGCTGCACACTCTCCTTCACAGGCAGTGTAGGTAACAAGCACACATCCCCTCATTTGGGAGGACTTGCTCCCCTTGTTGCATGCAAATGTCCTGCTGGAGAAACAGGTGCTCAAGCCTTGCATACAGTTTTCTAACACACACTGGTGACAAAGTTCCCCATGACACCATGTAGGCACCGGCCCATTCCTACTGCAGCTGGCACCGTCAGGCTGCTGGCTGGAGCACAAGCTCATGACAGGGCCTGACAAGGGAGGGCACCAGGTCCGACTTGGAAGGAGGCTGTGATGCTCATGGGATGATCAAGCCCAATTAACTGCTACTACTGTCTAACCATAAAAACCTCTCCTTAGAAAACTATAAATTTTTGTGCTGTTTTTATACTTCTTTTCAAGCTAGCCCCTTCTTTTTCTCAGAATAAGCAACTGTTATCGCTACCTCCCTCCTTGTGTTATCAGCTCTTGGGTAATCACCATCTCAGAACGGACTGTTTCAGGTATTCTTTTCACATGCAGAGTTTACACTCACGTGCCTAACATACCACTCGCTGTTTTCCAGATCACACTGCCAGCCAAAGGGCGGCTGTGCAGACTCTCCTTGCACAGGAGAGCTTTGCTGACCGCTGTTCCAGTTAATATTGTGATGAATGGAGTTTGGAGTTGTAACTACTAAGATGTAGTTACGAATATTTGTACATTTCTATATGAGTGAAAGGTTTGTAAAACAATAAACTCAAGCTCACATAGAGACACTTACAAGCATTTTCCTGAGGCATCCCCATAAGATAATTAAAAACTCTCTCATTTTATATATACCTTACAAAAAGGAGGGAAAATCCAGCAAACCAAAACGGAGGTTTTTAAAAATTAATCATCAGCTAGCTATATAGTACACTACTGATAGGAAGTAACTTTCCAGAAGGGCATATAAACAATAAAAATAACCACTAGAATGGGAAAATGTTTTGGTAATATGCCAAACCAAAAAGATTACCACTCCGGTTGAACCTGCATTTTACATGAGATTCAGTAGAATTTTACTCACTACACATGGACCATACAGGAATATACTAAGAATCTACACCAATTTTGGTCACTGACTTACAGTGCATCGGTTAAGACAAAGTATTTCCTTGAAAACCAATTGCTAAAACACTGTGAAGTGCAATATGTGTTTAATTAAAATGTAACATGATTCAAGACAAACAGTAATCCAGGAATACAATAGTGCTTTTGCTAACATTTTTGAGCTCGTTTTTCTGGTCAAGAAAGATACTTAAAAGGAAAAAAAAAAAAACAGCAATCATTTCTGATACCCATATCCTCCAGGAGAAAAACAAAACAAAACAAAATAAATAAGTTGGTCATCTGGCAGGATCTTTTAGCAATCTGATGATTCTAATCCTCTTGCTGTCTTTAATGAACCCACATTTCATTTCAAAATTTGATTCATCTTTCTATCATGAGGCTGATAAATAATTATCCTCTCAAATGTGGGATTTTATTCATTTTATAAAAATAATATAGCTCTTCCTACTTTATCATCCCGACCATCCAGACTATCCTCCTTTCTGCTTAATTTCTTCAGTTTCTTTTTAGACATTTCCAAACCTAGGAAAAAATAAGTGTTAGCGTTATTATTTTACATTTCAAAACCATTTCCAACTGTATTTATATCTGGCCTAAAATTAACTTTTAAACAGCATTAAGAAAGCAAAACAAAACACACTCTTAGTCTTCTCTTTCACCAGGGACTTGAACACCACTGGGCGTTCACATTTTACTAACAGATGAACGTCATGGAAGAAAACACGGCATTTTATCCTCCTACTCCAGGCACGCATTTTGAGTCAGCAAATACACAGGACAAACAGCCCTTAATGAAGTGTCACCTAAATATGCAGTTTAAAGCCATTCTAACTATATGACTCGTATCTCAGGTTCATCCCCCCGCCCCACTCCCCAGCTTGCGCAGGACAAGTTCACGCCATCGCTCCGTGAAACTACCACACGCAGCTGCGAGGCCCCCCAGACTGAGAGGGCGATACGCAAGTTCACGCAGGCTGGGGGAATAGGTTCGGCCGGCACCAGGAAGGCTCCTTAAGCCGCTCTTCAACACGGCCGAGTCGAGCAGCCCCAAGAGAGACTGCGACGCACTCAGCAAAGGGGCGAGGGCTCCGCT